TGATCAGTAGAAATGGCCATGACATGGGACCTTTAAACTATTGCAACTTGTATTGACGAACATTTTTCACCACTTTCTGCTTTTTTTTTCTAAATTCAGCATTTAACGGAATATGAATAATGGACAAAAAATGTACTTTTTAACAAACATTTCCTTTCTCTCTGCAGATACATATCCATGTTCTTACAAAAGTGTGTTTGCTTTGTGAATGGGTCGGAATGTGTGTCTCAATTACCGTTTCTAAATACCCAAGCTGAATTGCTGAGATGGCAGGAAAGAGGAAAAACCAAAAAGCAGCATGAACACTTGTAATCAACCAAATTATGATTTTCAGTGTGTGGTGGACACACACTCCCAATTAATAGTACAATGGAAAAAGTGAACTAATGCCATGTAGTCAAATGTTTTTAAAAGGGATTGAGTGTACGTGTTTGCAGGTATATATTTTCAGGTGGTGGTGGAGAGCTTTTTTATTTTTTTTTATTTTTTTTAATTCAAACCCTGTCTCTGTTATTGGAAAAATGTTCACACATATTTCTCACGTTTCTTGTTTTCATTTCTCTACAGCAGTTTCATATCCAGATGTTAGCTTTGGCAGACTCCTGCTGCTATTTTAAGTTTTGTATCGTCTATTTACAGTGTTGCATTCATGTTCATTTGAACTTCTTTAGCTCTGATATTTAGCATAAAATGACTTCAGAAGGTTTTTTTCTTGCGCAGGTTGACATCACATAGAGTATATCCTATATCTGATTGATCAAACAATCCATTGAAGCTATATGATGCTGAATCAAATATTAAAACACATGACATTCTTAACATTTAACATAGATTCCCCAGCAACAACATGACTGGTTTGGTATGTTTTGAAACCTCTGAACTTGATGGACTTTTATATTGTGCATCTCACAAAGTTACAACATGCATTTCCACTATAATGGTACTGTTTGAATCAAACAATAGCCAAATCAAGTGTTAAAAAGTATCCTAAATGTTCAGGTACTTTGTTGGGAAGTAGAGGTTTGTTTGTCTCATTAAAAGGGATCTTACTGCCACACAGACTGAACTAAAGCAATCTTTTACATTACCGCTGTTAACCTCATTAGCAGCGTATTGGAGGGGTAATAAGAGACAATTGATTACATATTACGAAGATGAGCACAACATGCAGAATAATGCTTTTACTGTGCCAAACTTTCCTGGAAAACATTGGGCATTTTCTTTCTCGTGAAATACCAAATTCATTTTCATGCCATGCGAAGTAACCCTAAAAGCTCTCAGGGGTGCGATCAGCTGAACTACATACAGCGCAAACCTTTCCTAGGTAGGAATATGACAGAAGTTGGGGGGTGGGGGGAACATACAGGCTTTGGCTGCCTGTCTGGTTGAAGTGGCTTTTTCTGTCTTGTGAAATACTCAATTTACTTTCTAGCCGTGTAAAATGCACACATAATAGCTTAAAGAGCACTCAGGGGTGCATTTTGGTAAATCATCCATGTAACACCGGTGCATTATATACAGTATTTTTTTTTTGTCCTGCTTCTACTCTCAAGTAACAGGCATGTGAGAAAACAGGAAGTTGGCCAGCTGAGAGGTTTCTTTCTTTTGTCTCCACCGCACTTTAACCCATACACGGAAATAGCACTGTGGAAAGTGTGACTTCTGCCACAGAAGAAAAAACAAGATGTTCAGAGTGAGTTAAAAAAACAACAAAAAGGAGAAAATTGGCAACCTCCAAAACAGGCCGAATGTCTGTTTTGTGTAAGCAGCAGAAACAGACAACGGGCAGCTTTTCCTAAAACGCCTTGATCGAGAGGTTAAAAAACAAGATGCTCTTCATCTCCGAATATGACATCTTGACCAATCTTGTTGGATTGGAGCTGAAGCGAAACCGCTGTCTCCAGTAGTGTTGTGCAACGGCCCAACACTATTTACTCGTGTTTCCTCTGCCAGCTTGTTGTTTTACACTTTCGACATCCTGCGCACAGGGTGCCACGAGAGGCTGACACTGCTCTTTACTGCACTGTAAACGTACTGCTTATGACTTTAAAAAAAGGACCAACAGAGGAAGTGAGACATGCTTTAAAATCAGTTTTATTTATAGTGTTTTGCTGCCATGTGCGGTTATTGACCTTAAGAACACTGTGATGGCAATTGAATGATTATGGAGCAACATGTTACCAGTGGTGGAACAAGTATTCAGATTCTTTACTTTAGTAAATACCACACTGAAAAATGCAACATTTCAAATCAAAGTACTGCATGAAGAATCATACTTTAGTATTTCAGTACTATAAGGAAAATGTACTTAAACTATTATGTGTAAAGTACTCACTGCAGGAAAAAAAAATATATATATATAAATGTTTTTGAAAGATTTTAAACCAAAAGCAGCAAATCCTCAGATGTAAGAAGCTAGAACTGTGAGATATGTTTGAACATTGCCAATTAATTTCCTTTGAACCCACTTTTACTTAAATACAATGTTGAATTGTTTCATTTATACCAAATAATGATATTTGAGACTTTTCTCCAAGTATTGTGTTTCAAAATTTGAAATGTATAAGTAACTGCTAAATTAATCTGGAGTGAAAAGTACAACACGTGTTTCCAAAATGTAGTCAAAGTATAAAGTAGGATAAAATGAAAATAATCGGTTACAAGTACCTCAAATGTTATTTGCAGTACTTGAGTAAATGTACTATACTTTCCATCACATATACAAACACACACACTCAGGGATAATGGGGATGATGGGATAATGGAGAGTGAGGGTCCAGAGAAAGGTCAGAATCCTCAGTAAACAAATGGCTATTTAACGGTAAACAGATCATTGTGCCCCACGGCCAAAAACTCTGACGGATGTAACCTCAGGTGACATATTTAAGTCCTGTTTGTGTTTCCTTCTCTAAACAAAGCATCTAATCATCTATTATCCGCAAGGTCGAGACAATAGGCTCATGCTGTTTGTGTGTATCTTCTCTTATTTTTGAGCTGTTTTCCTACAATACAAAATTCCAACAATACAATCCATACAATGTTTGAGTTTAAGGTTGTCACTTTCGTCCAATGGTATGAACATATGGCTTCTGTTTAATGTCTTCTCCTTTGTGTTTTTACAAAATTCTCTATTATCTATTCACTTTTAGGCTTTCAAAGGGTCGCAGCACTTCCTGCGCAGCTTTCTGAAACATTTATGGACTGAAGTCGAGATGGTTGTCACGTTCCTAAAATAGGATGTAGCAATATCCTGCGACTCGAAGGGGAGTGGTAAATTTGAGCGTCTCAGGTCTTTCATGTTCCAGGGACCATGTTATCTTCCCGCAGGATTTATAACTGTGTGTCTGCGGTCGATTGTGTGTGTAAGTGTGCTCGTGGGGGTGTGAGGGGGGAGAGGAGAGGGGTTGAATGAGGCAGCCCTGGTGGCTTTCTGTGAATGGAGCAGTGAAAGGTTAAAGCTCCGAGCTGTGGTCACAGTGTATGTTTGCTGTTTATTTTGTTCTGCTTGACTTACTGGACTCCTGTGTGTGGGGGTGTG